TAAATGCGGCCTCAAACTCGGCCACTGGTGTACTCAGCTGCTTGAGCTGACAGAACTGATCCCTCAACTTCTCCCTGACAGTGGAGGACAGAAACTTCTCCTGAAAGGCACCAACAAAAGCCTCCCAAGTCCCTCCAATACGACCTCGCACAAACTTCCACCACTGACCCGCGTCTCCCTTCAACTGGAAAGACGCCAAGGTCACCTTCAATGCCCCGTCTTCGATGCCAAGCATCTCAAACGTTTTAGTCATCTGCTCAAGCCACTCGTCAGCCTTAAGTGGCTCTTTCGGATCACCCACAAACTCGTCCGGATTCGACCGGAAGAACTCTCTCTTCAAAAAGGACGGCCCTGCCTCAGTTACATGGGCCTGGACTTGATTCTCAACTCTGAGAATGTCCATGGATTCCCTCAATGCTCCTGCCATCTCGCGGGCTAAGGCGTCCATGGCCTGCTGACCTATTGGCTCGGCCACATTGGCCTAACCAACACCCTCCTGCTGCACCGGAATCTCATCCGGTATAGGCATCTCCCGCCTCCCAGGCCTACCTCGCCTACCACCATATCCTCGTCCTGACATCCTAATAAAAGTAATGAAGAACATTAGCACATTCACAAATGTGTCGAAGCTATCTCACTCACGTCCTAAAGCATTGGACAACAGTAATTCACTCCACGTAAGCACATTACAAATTTCATTTCCGGATAATGACAGTCCCGTGGCGTTGCTAGAGTTCCAGTTAGAAACAACATTGATCAAGTACTTTTCCAACAAGACTCCCAGAAACCCAAAGATCCAATCAACATCCTAGAAACTAAATTTCATACCCATATAGTCACATAAACATGTTATCAAATAAACATATAACATAATGCATAAGTCTCTAACAAGCGAGACAAACCCAATGTGGTACTAACCACTTCCCACGTACCCAAAGTATTCAAACCCAGTACGCTCTGATACCAAGTTGTAACGCCCTCAAAATAAACCCATAATCATACATTCAGGATACAAGAAAGAAATATCATGTTCCCAACATCAGAGTATTTTTACAAGAGATATTACATGTTGACAACAAAAATAAATGCCCTTTAGGCTTATAACTTTCCAAGTCAACACTTGGGTTCAACAAAAGAAGAGTTCTAACTCTTTATACAAAATAAGCCATTGGCTTGATTTACATGTAATACAAAAAAGATAACACAAAAAGATCTTCTAGCCTCTAAGCCATCCAAGCTACGCCCTTGGAGGTGGCATATCACCAGAACCTGAAAATGATGTCCCATATAGGGTGAACCAGAGCCAAAGCCCAGCAGAGATATACTAAACCAGATATGAGTAATAACTAAAACATTAGCATTTGATAAATGGCTAACACTTATAAACCAACTTACAACACAATCCAGTTCCATGACAAATATGTACATGTTTCATTCTACTTTCCTTTACTTCACCAATTCAATTCATAAACGTGGCTCAGAACCTGGCCAAACAATTAAATGAGACTACATTCCATATTAAAACACTTCCTTTATTTACAATTCAAATGAGACTACAACTCATGTCAAAAACACTCCCAATACTTCAATTTTCTACGTTATGCAAGTGTAATTAGAATTTCGGGACTTTCACCCTGGACACTCCGGCCAACTTAGTTATCAATGGACTTCATCCCCTATCTCCTCCCAAACAGGTTTGAGAGTACATCCCCTATCTTTCCTCAAACCATAGAGTACATCCCCTATCTCCTCCCAAACAAAATACATATACAATGTATTTAAATATTCAACCGTATACAATGATCAATCAATACATATATTCAATGTATTATTCCAACCGTCATATTCAATGACATATTCCAAGTGATTAGTTTCAGTTTTCCCTAATCAACATATAGTGTCTACAACAATCATGACTATCCTCCACCGATAGCCCAAAGCAATTATCTCTAAACAGATAATAAATTTATCAACAGATAAAATAACAACATTTTCATAGGTGAGTGATTAATTTATCCAACTACACCAATCAACCTCATAATTTCCCAATTTCATAATTTCCTACTCAATTTCATATTTTCCCAAATTAATTATTCAAATTAATTATCCAACATAATTAGGGCATTTTCCCCCTTTTTCCATTATCAACCCTAAGGTTCAATTCCATCACTTTAACAACACTAATTCCATTTTCTAAGGTCTCACATACACATGGAGTTTAACATTTGAAAACCCCTTTTTCATAACCTCAAACAAGCGCTAACTTTTCTGAAATCACCATAATCCACCATTTATACAAAATACATAATATCTATGTCAAAACCCATAGAAAGGAGTAGGTTATCCCTACCTCAAATGAAGAGACCAAATGGAGAAGATGAAGAAAACTCGAGATGCTCCAAACTCAAAGATTTTCGAATCAAAATGTAGCACACACCAAGCTCCACCTTTCTTATAAAGGGATTAGGGTAGGAGACCACAAGAACTAGATGGATTTGTAGAAAGAAGGTATGTAGAGAGAGAGAGAGAGCAGCCGGATCTAGGGTTTGAAGATAATAGAGATGAAAAAGTGTGAAAAAACCAGCTGTTGCAAACTGATATATTCGAAGCTCGCTCGAGCGAAGGAGTAGTCGCTCGAGCGACCAGACACAAAGAAACCTCGCTCGAGCGCAAGAAGCGTCGCTCGAGTGAACAATGCGAAGCTTCAGGTTTGCAACACAGACGCACGCTCAAGCGCAAGAGTTCTCGCTCGAGCGAAGAAACACAAAACATAGAGCTCGCTCGCTCGAGCGACAAAATCCCCGCTCGAGCGAAGAATACCAACCTTCAGGTTTTTCACAGACACAGACGCACGCTCGAGCGCAAGACTGCTCGCTCGAGCGAAGAGACACAAGACACAAAGCTCGCTCGAGTGAAGAAGCAGAAACCCAAGGCTCACTCGAGCGCAAAAAGCCTCGCTCGAGCGAAGATGCCAGATTCTGGACAGTAACCATTTGTTCTAACTCCCAACCAACCTGTTTCAAACTTAACCAATACATCCTAAAACTCAAATACAAGGAATTAAAGGACAGAAAAGAGGTAAAGACAACAACAATCAACCAAGGAACCCAAGTTCGGAATACAATATATGAAGAGAGAAAACCGGGATTGCTATAGTACATACGGTATGCACCATTTGAAAGGTGTGTACCATAATCTTTCACATATATAAGAGACATTTATTTATAAATCCCTCTTCACTTATTTATGTTTCACTTAATACAAATTATTTTCTTATATTCCAATAAATTATATGGGTGATATAGTTATCAAAATACCTTTAATAATAACAGGGCGAACCGCACATTAATATTCATATTGATAGTGTGAATATTCTGTGATGTAATTATTCACATTATTAAATATGAATGTTTATATTACCAAATTACTAAGGGTTCAAAAAAATATTTGCAAAGATAAAATTATTCATAAAATACCTTAAATATAAGAATTAAGATTTAATAGATCAAATGTCTAAATAATAGAATTTATTGAAATATAATAATATATCATGGACTAATTAAAATGCAAAAGTATATTTCCTAATAAATTTTCTTTTCTTTTATAATATCCCAAGAATACTTAATCCATTAACCTACATGACCCAAATCAGTTGGGAAGGTGAACGAATATGCAGTTTAAATATTGGATAAATTATATTTTACTATAGTATTACTTAGAATTTGTTTGGCACGTGCTAAAATAGTACATACTATTTTAAAATATTATTTTATTTAGGTCATAATCATTTTATTTGAATCACATCGTTTCTATACCTAATATCTTTATTTTCAATAAAAAAACAACCATTATTATTCTCATAATTTTAAAAATATCATTGATATTTCACTCTAAATAATATTTTATAATTTTTTTATTTAAAATATTTTTTTTATGTTTGCAAAAAAAAAATAAAAAATTTATTCCAAAACCTAGGGGAGGAACGTGACATCCCTAGACCCATTGTGGCTCTGCCATTGCATAGATGTTATGTGCCTCCTTCCGAGGCATACAAAACTGTAGAGTTGCGCATTAACTCAAAATTGAAGCAAATGTATTTTAAGGTTGACACCGTAAAGAAAGAACCTCAAACAGTGCCCGATCGGAAAAGACAAGATTTGGTAATTAACAAAATGTGATTTATTGATCACTTTGATAACTAACCCATATCATCTAAAACCACAAAATCTATGTTCTTCCCTTACCCAATTATAAAATGGCAATGAAAAGTTCTAGCTACACATCTCTGGTCAATGCACTGACCAAAGTAACTAATATGCGGTGCCAAATACCGAGTGTAGCATAGAATGCATTCCCATTGCATTTTCCATGTAGACTAGAGATTCTATAAGTTTAAGGTAAAAACATGGGAGAAAAAAATTTGAGCCATTAATTAAGTTGTAGAAGAGCATTACCCTTTCATCACTCATCTTTCTGAAACCTAATTTTTTCGTCCAGATTGATTCAGCTTCCTCAGCAACAGGGAGTACCAGGTTTTCAACATTCAGGGAATACAATAGGCTCTCGATACATGAAAACAATGCTTGGAAATATCCCTACAGATAAAAAAAAAAAATCATCAACACAAACAAAAAGGAAGGAATAACTCCGGCAGCACAGAAAGGGAAAAAAAATCAATAAATAAAGAAAATTAAAAAACAAAAAAAAAACTTACTTTTCCTTGATTCTCTCCACTTGTAGCCACTAGAGGAAGCTCAGTAACCTTACGTCCAAAAATCCTCAGAAGACCAACCGATACAACTGACCTGTGCACGACATTTTGGAATCCAATGATTAAAAAATAATAAGAACATAAAAATTATAACAACCATTAACAAAGTGATGGAAGTACAAGTGATTTTTATGCATTAGATTGTGCAAGTCTATCTTGTACCTTCATCACTTTGAAATTATTTTTTTCTACTCTCCACTTCTTTGAAATTCACCCTAACAAAAATATCTTCCTGCAATGCACTCTAAAAGAGTAATTTTTCATCTCAAACTGTCCGCATACACGAAGAAAAAATGCAGAGATAAAAGATTTAAGAAAAGAAAGAAACAACATGCATGCATGCATATTAAAAGGTTAGCATGCATGGCTGCTGTGTGACACACCTCCCCTCCTATTCATACATGAAAACAAAAACAATTCTCAATCAGATCACTGGCATGCTAACCAAAGAAAATAGCAGCAATATTACATAAACAACCAAGAATGAACAAAATAATCCCTAATTCCTACACCTTTAACCGCGACGCGCTAATCTGCTATCTGCTGCACCTTCTTTTCTAACATTGATGTCCCCTTAAAAATCGTCAACTGGAGGTTCCTCGGATACTTCAATAACTGCTCAGACATGTTTATATCAGTTAGTATTGAAGCACTGGCTGTGAACATAAACATGGGACACAAATAGTACCAAAGTCGATGCCCAATTAAACCATGAAAGTACCCATTTTGCCAACACCCTTTTTCATAGTGGAAATGTTAAAAAAAAAATTCCTTCTTAAAAGAAAAAAGAAAGAATTTATAGTAACATCTTCACTTGTATAAATATGCAGTTGTTTCAATCCTATCTCATGGCATACATGCAGTGGTGGAGCCAAGAAATTAAATCAAAAGGGACACTTATTAATTATAACATTGAAAATTTTTACAAAAATATTTCACATAAATTTTTATGATTGACTTCAAGAAAGATAAATAAAAATATATACATATATATATATTATTTGTAACTAGTATATCATGGACAATATACAAAAAAACAATCATGGATATAAGTTTTAAAATAAATTATATAATAATAAAGTAATTTTTCATAAAAAGTTTAGTAAAAATTCAATATAATATAATAGTAATACCACGTCATCATTGACATATGATATTACCAATCAATAGTAAAGAAACATATAGAGGATGAACCCCAATTGTCAAATATAACTAACAATTCAATAAATTCCATATCTTCATTGAGATTAATTATAATTGTATCACTCTAAATAATATTTTATAATTTTTTTATGTTTGCAAAAAAAATTATTCCAAAACCCAGGGAAGGCACGTGACCTCCCTAGACCCACTGTGGCTCCGCCACTGCATACATGTTATGTACCTCCTTCTGAGGCATACAAAACTGTAGAGTTGCGCATTAACTCAAAATTGAAGCAAATGTATTTTAAGGTTGACACTGTAAAGAAAGAACCTCAAAAAATGCCCGATCGGGAAAGACAAGATTTGGTAATTAACAAAATGTGATTTATTGATCACTTTGATAACTAACCCATATCATCTAAAACCACAAAATCTATGTTCTTCCCTTACCCAATTATAAAATGGCAATGAAAAGTTCTGGCTACACATCTCTGGTCAATGCACTAACAAAAGTAACTAATATGCGGTGCCAAATACCGAGTGTAGCATAGAATGCATTCCCATTGCATTTTCCATGCAGACTGGAGATTCTATAAGTTTAAGGTAAAAACATGGGAGAAAAAAATTTGAGCCATTAATTAAGTTGTAGAAGAGCATTACCCTTTCATCACTCATCTTTCTGAAACCTAATTTTTTCGTCCAGATTGATTCAGCTTCCTCAGCAGCAGGGAGTACCAGGTTTTCAACATTCAGGGAATACAATAGGCTCTCGATACATGAAAACAATGCTTGGAAATATCCCTACAGATAAAAAAAAAAAATCATCAACACAAACAAAAATGAAGAAATAACCCCAGCTGCACAGAAAGGGAAAAAATCAATAAATAAAGAAAATTAAAAAAAAAAGAAAAACTTACTTTTCCTTGATTCTCTCTACTTGTAGCCACTAGAGGAAGCTCAGCAACCTCACGTCCAAAAATCCTCAGAAGACCAGCCTATACAACTGACCTGTGCACAACATTTTGGAATCCAATGATTAAAAAATAATAAGAACATAAAACTAATAACAACCATTAACAAAAATGAAAATGAAAATGTAAAGTAATTAATAAAACATGTAGAAACAACTTTAATGTGAAGCAGCTTACTTTACGATTAAAACGACACAGTACATTCCACCAAATTCTTGCCCATATATATTTCTCCTGCATTAAGTACAACAAAGAGCATTTTAAACAGGTTTAGTAGATTAACCAAAAACATAAAGATCAATAAGAAGTCAGGGAAATTTAACTAGTGAAGCAAACAATCTACTTACATAGCGCCCTTTTTCTCCTTATTTTTCTGTTCTCAAATTTCATTAAATAAAACCAATCCTTTTCTCCTAATTGAACCTTATGGTCAATCTTTGAAAAGCACATAATGTGAGTTGAACAATTCTAGGACATAAAATAGAGGTTTGTTTGTAAGCAAAATTCATATTTTCCTCCTCCAAAATGCATTCTTTTTAATAATGTATACTTGATTAATGTAGTTACAAGTATTTGTTGACAACCTACAAAATAACTTCATTTCACACCAATTCATTAATAGAGGGAAATGATGAAATTTTCCTCACAAAGCACTTAAATTTCTTCCGTATGGCATAAGTTTTGGTAAATACACCCTTCAGATGAAGAGCTACTTAAGCACAATGTACAATGACAACTTACCCACAGACCATAATAGGTATAAGATCACGGCCAGAAGTTGCAACAATAGGATCAAAACAATCCTGCCAAAGATGAGACATACAAATAGGTTTAACCCCCCAATAAAATTAAGTAATAAAAGAAAGTATAACATAACAAAAAGAAGTATCTTTATACAACTGCTGTCAGAAGGACTATACAGCAAAAGGAAAAAGAAGTCAAAATCAAAACCATTTTTGGACAAAGATACATTTAAGATATAGCATAGAGAATCAATATTAACCAAATGCCCCGAAGAGGTCCTGGCCCCCAGATTTGTTTCGTCTAGCACATCACATTACATTATGTTGCTAAAGAGAAGTAACCAAATGCCCAGAAGAGGTCCACGTGAACAGATTTTGGGTGATGAAGCTCGAAGGTGATTTGAGGCACTCGAGCAAACGATGTAATGAGTTTGGGATTTCAAAAATTTTCATTGACAATTAACATATTTCTTTTTTTTATCTTTTTTTGCAGTAAGGTCCCTGAGGAATATATTATTCAGCATCCAACAAATGGAAATCCACCAACAGTATTTCTGGTTTTGCGGGGTTAGTTTGTATCTCTCAATTGAATTTTGCTATTTCTTTGTGTGAGAATTTTCTTTTTCATCATGGCATTTTAGGGATTCAGTCCATTATTTTCTTGTTAAGGAAAATCTTACCCTTGTGAGTTGATGGTGACACTTGAGTTAGTGCAAGTGTGTATATTCATGTAGCACTTATCCAATTTAGCATTCAGATGATTGTTCATCACTGGAGCATTACATACTAAAACTTTAGCTTTGAAGTTCATGTTTGTTTTCTTCACCAACCATTTATTTGTTGGAGCTATGGTCCACATGGCTCTATTTTTCTCACTATAAGAACTGAATTTTGTTTGATCATTTACTAATTTTGTATCCAGTTTCTAAGTAGTATTGCCTTAATTAGCTGCAGAGCTATGGATCATTTATTTGCATTGAGGTACAAATTACAGTAGATGATCCAAATATGAAGTTGTAGGGTTCTAGTGACAACTTGATTGTGAGGGGCAGGAAAACATGTTATATATCAGAAACTATGTTTCATCATTTTGTCACAACTTAAGAGAGTGTTTCAATTATTCACTGTATGTGCTGCAGCAATACTTTGTAACATAAATAAATAAATAAAGAAGGGGGGAGGGGGCTTATGACTTGTGAGCTTGAAGAATTTTCTCTCAAGTAAAAGGGTTATTTTCATTGTAATCATGTTGAAGATGATCCCTTTAACATACATCCACATAAAACCAATAATTAACTCTGCTTACATCTTCTCTGTACCTGGTCAGCGACATCTAACCCAATTGTAATTATGCATTATTTTGAGTATTGAAGTTTTGTAATATTTCATTCTTTCTCATAAGTTGAGCTATAGTATATCTGTGTGTATTCTTGGTATGTTCATATATTTGCTACAAAATAATATGATATCATGATGTTCTTTAGCATCATCTTGGTGCTTTTTTCTAATAAAAAAATTCCTTATTCATCACAAAAATATATATATATATATACATATATATATATATCATGATGTAGACATTTTTTAATCAAAGCTCAAAACTTCACTTTTTTCAGATTTAGTTTGTGGCATGAAAAGAAACAAGTTTACAGCCACCGAGAGGGATCAGATTTCTTCTGTCCTAGACCGGGCATTTGTTCACCTTGAAGCATGGTTTCAATGGTTTAATACTACGTAATCAGGTAAATCTGGAGGTTTTTTTTATTTTTATTTCTCTCTCATTGGGTGATTAATTTTTGAGAAATGTTAGGGATACTAACAGTTTTACCAACACACTTGCAAGTTTATGCAGGTCCCACGCCAAGTGATGGTAGATCCATTAAAGCTTATGAGTTGTGTTAGTAGTAAGATTGTTAGTTGAATATCCCTAGCATTGTTAATTTTTTCCATTTGGAGATATCACTGGAAAACTCTACCACCAATCCTAGATTGGGCATTCCAATGGATGTTGTCCGTCTCCTCTAGACTTCTTGATGATAAGATAAACTTTCCACATTCCACATCATATTGATCTGTCAACAATGTGTCTGATGGACCCCATAACCCCTTTAGTCAGACATTTTAAACCATGAATAGCAGAGAAGTGAGCAAAAGGACGAATAGTTATTCATGTAGCCAAGCAAAGAAAGATCCTTACGACTCTGTTGAGTTTGACTATATAGAGAACGCATTCACAATTTATTTTTTTCTTTCATTTTGAATATTTTTCTTCTTTTCTATTATTAATAAAATTTTGTTCTTTGTTGCTGATCAAAAAAACAAAAACAAAAAAGGGCATTCACAATTCCTGCAAAATATGTTTCAACTTGGATCATTGTTTCTAAGAAAGATAAGATATACGCTGATATGTTTCTTACTTCTGTGAGTATTTTCTTTTCTAAGTCAGTGCTTTGATTAACAGGCAAGGATATGAGCAGCTATTTTTGGCGTGGAAGAGACAACGCAACCATGCGCGAATTAAATCCTAAGGTTCTACTTCACATGATTTAATGAAATTTCCTGAATAATTAAATACAGCCCTGCTAAGGACACCAACTTTTCCCCTGCCCTCTCATTGTGAGGGAGGCAGCGGTAAAGGCTGTGAAAAAATGTGATTTTTGTAATCTTTTCCAATTAAATATGCTCGTTATTTCCTTTTACTTATGGGCTTTTAAACAGGGAATGATATTCAATATTAGGCATGATATGGAATATGAGTTCTCAAGCAGTACTTTTTGGTTCAAATATTGGGAGTTATGTACACTAGTAGGATCTCTATTTCTTTCTTTTTTTTTCCTTTTTTGAGAAGTAAATATTATTAAAAAAGACACCTAAAGGGGCGCAGCCTCTGCACATGATGTATACAAGTCAACTAAAGCCAATCCATAAGGCTGAGCTGAATTTGATCAAAATTGATCCTAATCAATATGCTGTAGGAATCCCTTAATCAGCGCACCTGCTCTAACCTATCAAACTTATGGGTTCACCGTATATCTACCTAAGCCATTTTTGTTCTTCTTCCAACATTCTGTTCTTTTTCACTCATCCTCTAACTTAAAAACCTTACAAAGATTGTTTCTTCTAATCCAAGAGGAAACAAGAGTATCATAATCAACTCATTGAAGAACCTTTGAAACCACTAGCTGTGTAACTAGATGAAGTACATGAATGCTGGTGATTCTGGATCTCCAATCATAGTTTATTCCATCTATTTATCCAATTGTTCCCCTTTTAGTAACATTACCAATGTTTAAAACAGATCTATTCATCAAACACATCAATAGTTGTGTTGCCATATTAACATTGTCACTGAAATGTCCAGACACTGACCTCTGGGTTGGATGATTATCCATGTGCGTCGCACCCAACTGAAGATGAACGTCATTTGGATCTTAGATGTTGGATGTTTCTTACAGCAAATTGCATGCATTCAATCTCAAAGCTTCTTCAAAAGGAACATGAACTCGGGAAGGTATGACAATAGGAATAGACATCTGCATCTCGGAGTTCATGTCTTGCCATATTAAACCTCTAAATGGAAATATGTAGGAAAGGAATATGATTCAACAGCTAAGCTGCTCTCGAATTTTGAAATCCTAAATCAGATTTGTGCAAAGTTCATTATGTTATCTAGCATTATTTCTTGTTCTTCTAGAGCTTCTATAATCTTTTGTAATTGGTGATGCCTTTTTTCTTTTTTTTTTGGTAGTTCTATAATTAGGTAGAAAGCAAAAGAAAAGTTTATAATTATTTGGAAATCTTCTTTGCTGCAATACATTTGTATTCTATCAAAAAATTATTTCCAATTTAATATGAACTGATGTTTCAAAAAGTTAAATAAGGTGCTTAATGTTTTTGCAGATGCACTTTCATGATGCACATGGAACTTACTTGCATTTTGAAAATCACACGGAAAAGGTATGCTCCTTGCCTATTTATTATTCCTTTTAGATTATGGTATCACTATCCTATATTCAACTGAAAAAGTCTAGGATCACAGAACCGGACACAACTGATCGGTTTCTGTGTATGTAGAACTCGTATTCAACTTATACACAATAACTACAATTCATTACAATTCACGAAATTATTATATGCAACTGAACCATAATATAAAATGCTAAGAACTGTCTACATTGTCATAGTCTTAAAAAATGATTAATCCTTCCAGGTTCGTTTGATTTGGTGAGAAGTAATGGGAAACAACCATTATGCAAGTCGAGAGCTCGTCCAGGAAGCTTTAGAACAGCCAAGATTGAGGTTTGTTCCTCATATTGGCTATGTTTGCCTTTTCCCATTTGTGGCGAAGATTATTCCACTTGTAAGTTGCATGAAGGATCTCATCACGAAGCAATGTTTTCTCAATCTATTTGTGCTTCTGTTTAGTGTTTCTTACCTCTACACTGTCGTAGTATGAAGCTCTGATTCAACAAAAAAAATCCCCATTCCTTCATTTGGGTTGTGTTTGGATCTTGGATTTAGGTGGAGATTTGTTTAGGGAAAGGAAATGAGAAGAGAAATGTGAATGGAATACGAGCTGATGTTATTTCACATTTCCATTCCTTTTCCCTCAGCAAATCACTAACCAAATCCATGATCCAAATACAGCCTTAATGTTATTTTCAATTGGTGATTACATATCATTCGCATTTACAAATACACATACAGGACTCAACGATCCTAGAACAACAGCTGAATCTCATTTCAAACCGGAGCATTTTATGGACTGATTATGGACTCCGCTCTCTTTCCAAAACAAGGTGATGGAAGTTTCTCAAGTAGTGCATCATTTATGAGCTCCTTTATCCATACATCTATTCTATTATATAAAACACACGATCAACTTGGTGTGAGCGCTTATGTCACATATTTTCTCATGCCCAAATTCCCACCTATGTAACTGCGAAGTTTCTTATTTCAATTTTTTTCTCCTCCATCTACATTTAAATTTCTTTTTTCATAAGACGGTGACAACTGTCTTCTATTTCTGCACACGCATTCACTTGTGTGCTCAACTTCTAGTGTATGTTGTTATTTGCATGATATCATGTTTATTCTAGAACTACTAAAGAAATTAATTTGTGAAGCTCCTCTTGTATGCCAAAGCTCAATGTACATGAAATACAACACGGAGCATGATGCACCCTATTGGAGAGGCCCAATTTGGATGAACATCAACTACATGATTCTTTCCTCGCTTCACCATTACTCTAAAGGTACACAAATACAAACATAGATTTATCTATTGTAAATTAAAAATAAAAATAAAAAAAATCTGATTTTCAATAAAATTTGAACGCGTGGCATTGACACGTGCAGAAAATGGACTGTATAGAGACAAAGCCAAGATCATCTATAATGACTTGAGGAGCAATTTGATTAGGTAAATGGTATGACATTTTTAGTTCTTAATTAATGCCTCTGATCTAAACTCTTCAGTCAATTCTGATGAGTATTGTTCATTTCTGTTATGGCAGAACCGTTGTGAAGAATTACCAGCAGACAAGGTATTTTTGGGAACAGTTTGATCAAAAGAAAGGTAAGGGGAAAGGTGCACGCGTATTTATTGGCTGGACATCGCTCGTGTTGCTGATCATGGCAAAAGCTTATAGTGAATGTTAGGAACTTAGGACTCAATTTTGTAATTTTCTAAGAAAATTATAAAGTCATTAGAGGATAAAGAAGACCACAAACAAACCAACCTGTTAGTTCTGTATAATCTCTCCAATTCAAGATATGCACTATACTTATTGTCGCAAGTTAATTTGAAAGGTAAGGTTTGAAGTTATTGGTTGTGATATGTGGATGATGTTATTGAGAGTTTGTAATATCCTCCTCTCTCAGGCTGGTTTTACATTGATCATGGATGAAACCAACTGATATGCTGACCAGAATGGGCCCCGTTAAAAATTGTTGTTTAAGAATGACCCCAAAATCAAGCCAATATTTATGGCATTTATTTTTGCTTCTCAAACAATTTTCTTTTTGGATTTAACCATTTCTTGTGTAGGATCTACTGTTTCAGGGGAAAATGTTTTTTAAGTTTTTCATAAAAAATGTTTTCTTATGTTTAGTTACAATCTTGAAACTAATACGTTAGTGGTGGTGTTAGTGATGATGGTGAGGTGGTCGCAAGATGGTGGGGTGGTGGAAATAATGCATTTATGGTGGTGGTGGCGATGGTGGCAAAGTGGTGGGGTGGTTAAATAAACTGTGATTGTGATCATTAGGACTGCAAACGAACTGAGCCGAGTCAAGTTTTGCTATGTTCGACCTCGACTCGTTTACTTATTGAACTTGTTTATTGAGCTCGAGCTTGAGCTCGGCTCAATAAGGAACTGAGCTTGAGCCCGCCCCTGCTCGGCTCTGCTCGGCTCGATAAAAAAAAAATTAATATTATTTATATTTTTTAATATATAAATACAATTCCACTAGGAAGCTCAAAAGAGTCATGGCTTGACTGGGTCAAGATGCTAAAACGACGTCATTTTGATACTTTTTTTTCTTTTTTTCTTTTTTTCTCTCTGTGTTGTTTGTTGTTTTGTCTCTAGAAAGAAAAAGACGACAAGGAATTTTCAAAATCACATAGAGCTTCATCTTCGTCAAGATCATCATCACGGATCCAAAATCACCATCACACACAACTTTACTCCTATCCCTCATTCTTCACTTAGAATCTTTATAACCAAAATCAACACACACCTTCATCTTCCTCAAGATCCAACATCAATTCCTCAAGATCACCGTCACATATCCAAAATCACCATCACACATAGCTTCTCTTCTCTCCCTCATTCTTCACTTGAAATCTTTATGAGACCCTCTCAAAGCTTCATCTTCCTCAAGATACAAAATCAATTCCTCTTCTTCCTTTCCAAAATCCAAAATCAAAATCAAAATCAAAACCAAACCCAATGAATCAAAATCAAAATCAAAACCAAACCCATCAAAGAAGAAGATAATCAAAGAAGAGGAAATCGGCTACAAGAGGAGGTCAGGAGGAAAAAAATAAGAAGATGAAGAAGAAGAAGAAGAAGAAGAAGAAAAAACTCAACGGAAGATCGAGCTTCGTCGGTTGAATCGCTGCCTTTGTTCTTCGAATGAAAGTCGAGAAGGAAAGAGGTAGAGAGGAGAGAGAATCTGTTGGAGAATGAGAGAGATAGAGAAGAAAGACAAAGAAAGAGAGAGCGGAAGGTCAAGCCATTCGAGCCTTATTTTGTTGAGGTACAAGACATTTCTGATGTAAATAATGTATTTATACTATTATTTATATATTATTTAATCTATAAATAATATATTTATTATAAAATTTAAATAAATATAAACAGAGTTTAATGAGCCGAGTTTATACGAACTTGACCTCAACTCGTTTACTAAACGAGCCTAATATTCAAGCTCGAGCTCATTGACTAAACGAACCGAACCTAGCTAATGATCCTAGGATAGTAATAGCGTGGCGTAAAATTTGTATAGGAAACATTTTAAAAATATTTTTTACTCAAATAAGCTTAATTTTTTATTTTGTCATTCCAAACAACTACAAATGCGAGAAGAATGGTTTCCAAAAAAATATTTTTCACCAAAACAAGGCCCTAGTATTAACAGGAAGCTTAGAGAACTAAACCTCACGCTTGGATTTTGAGGATCGATGGATGGTCTCAGATGAAAATCAGATGCAATCAAGATTAGTCCGGTCTTTCTAACAGATGCATCATTTGTAATGAATTTAGCCATGTCCAGCAGGATTATATATGGCCCCTCCCTCAACAATTAAAATGCAAACTAATGATCTTTAATCAATTGCAATTTCGGTTAACACTTTTTTTTAAATACTTCACTAGCAAGTCAAATGCAAGGTGTCTTAACACCAAAATCATCATTAGAAAATTGCAAAAACTGTTTACATCATTCAAGATATCAGTCTTTAACTCCCATTTTCAGTCATCTCCTTGTCCTCAGCCATTATGATCTCCGTGTCCCTGATATCCCGCTTCAACACATTACCTAGCCTCGCAATGGCTTCTGTCTGCTGTTGTAAAACCTGCATCAGAAAATACTATCATTTATCAAAGCATCACACATTTAATGAACACAGATTACAACCATGCATTTCTTTCTGGACATATCCACACTGACCATGAGGAACAGTATTTCATGAAAAAGACGAAAAATGATATCTAAATTTTAAAATTTTCTCATTTTCTCATATTATCTTTTACTCATTGTTTTCCATGGTATCAAAACACAGCATAAACAAAATGGGAACCTTTTTATATGGAAATGAAATCATGGGATGAATAGTGGCAATTATTATTCTAAATGACCTTAACTTTCATGTACCTTTATCTTATATCAACCATTAAACTGTCACTTTGGGATGTTAATACTATTTTAACATTAAAATGATTTTTCCAAATCAATATTTGTTAAAAGGGTTTGTTAATTGACATTGCAGAAGGAAGAACGAAAAACTCATAATGGCCATATAACTACCTCTTCCAGCCTCAAGAATAGTATTTCAAACATTGGCACTCACCTCCTGCATATCAGCAAGACTCTGATCATGTATTTTGGTCGATCCCGGAAGATAAATGGAACCACCACCACCACCATTAGCCTGAACACGAGTCATAGTGAGCAAATTTTGGACCCTCCTAGAAAGCTCTGCTCCAGATCCTTTCAACTGTATAGGTAGGTGCTAATCAGTATGATCCTTTTTCACAAGCCAACAAGAATAGGATGTATGAAACAAGAAAGACAAGGAACACCAACCTGCCTAGTTATTGCAGCCAACTTCTCAGCCAATTCAGCTTCACCTTTCATTAAAGGCACTCTGCAACCTTTACCCTCCAATGCCTCTACTATTCTCATTACCTTTTGCCACCCCCACATACAAACAAACATATAAGAAAAACTAGTACACTATGCTACATGCATTGATTTTTCACATGAATGATCAATAGCGCAAAGCAGACAAAGGTATGCGTCGCCAGGCGGATCTGCTAGAAATCAAGCATAGGTAGAGACTTGAACCCTTGCACCTTGCTAGGAGCTTTAGGGTTGAAATCTTGCCACTGGCAAGACTGCCCCCTCCAAAAGGTTATGGTCTCCAATGTACAAGAGAGACAGAGATTACACAAATTAGACAAAATCGTTCAAGCAGACTGCCAAAATGATTCACAACCATCTTGCTTAACCACTTGGAGTACAGAAGATAACGACAATTGACCCGGCCATGAAGAAACAACCTTACTGCTTGTACAACAAATTTTCGAACATTCATCTTTGTTCTCGAAGTAAAATAAATAATAAAGCCAAAAGAGGTCCTACCCTTAAGAGGCGCCTTTGAAGACCTTGCTCTTTCTGCCTCATTCTTTCTATCCAGGGAAGAGTATCAGCTTGAAAGTGCCTTTGAAGCTGCAATCACATGTACGAAATTGAATATCACAAATCCATGATATGCACCCAAAATGTGGGCAAACTGAGGGCGCGCACACAGAAAAAGAGAGAGTACCAGTTTCACGTTGCTTTGAGTCATTCGCAATCTCTCAGCATCAGAGAGTATAACTTCATCTTGAAGCTGTATCAACCAAAACACTATAATGTAAAACAACTGAAGTACAACAAAACGGTAACAACAATACAATAGCCAAAAGAGCATCCACTTAATGCTGAATGCATTAAATAGATAAGCATCCCCAAAACTACATCATGATAAAAACACATATCATTATGAATATCACATCCTCACATCATCTATATCATTATTCAACTTTAAATTTTTTTTATAAAACAAAAGAAAATTTTAAAAAAAGTTCTGAAAATGAATTTCTGTAACAATGGAGCTAAAGACCATGTAGTGTGGACAGTTTTAGGAGAAACTTGTGATTTTCTTATCACTGTAGGTTTACATCAACTATCAGCATTAGGCCCTTGTCTTTTTCCATTACTTTGAAAGAATTAACAGGATGTGTACAAGATAAGGTATAAAGAGAATATATAAAGAGAATTCAATACAAGGAATAATATTGAATATATGGAATGCAATCTTAGTAAAACACGAAATTAACAAAGAGGTAGAAGAAATACTTAAGAATGAAACACTTTTGATATTAAGGCTCAACCATATATACAGAGGGAGAGATTGGAGAAAGTGGAGGAAGGCTTCGGGTGTCATGTGATCAATCATCAATGCATACCCAAGAGATTAAAAAATCTAAATCAGTTCCTTGCCAATCGGAAGTAAGGAATACTCCTCTCAGGAGTAGTTCAGGTTATCTAGGGAATGGATCTACCACACTCAGCCAAGCAAACTTATAATTTTCTCCCTCATTCTAATTTCATGCACCAAATCAAATTTCAATATTTTCCTGACATTTTCCACAATTTGCACGAGGCTGATTACTTCACCATAATCCCAAAGTCCAACTAGGAAGCAGCAAAGGGCGAGTACATGCCCCAAGGCTCATCTAAGACAACTCACAAAATATGTTTACATGGCAATAAATTAATTAATGGTTACTGGACACCAATTTTAATCAAATCAAAATAGACAACCGTGTTTTATGTATTTAACTTGTGAATGGGCATGAATAGAGGAGACATTTGAAATCACATGCAAGACAAAGTGAAGAAAACCGTGTTTTATCTTCATCTCTACTTCACATTTATTCTCATGATAAGTGAAGAAAATCGTTGATGTAAAAAATTCTTGGCCGGTTCATCATGAAGATATCATTGGACTCCTAATCTATCAATATGAGAATAATGATGTAGGGAACACAAAGTAAATCATTTTTTGATCGGCAACAAATATATATATATATATATATTCATTCATGAAATACATGTATTTATGTGAAGATTTGTCAGGATAGTAAATAAGACAACATAATTCCCCAAGCAATTGAGCATCTCCTTAACAACCCATTTGAAATTGAAACCCTATATGTTAACACCAATAAAGGAACATGCTTTCTGTTGTAAATTAATGTGCCTCTAATTAGAAGAATAACCATTCTCTGCGGACAGTTTCATTCAGCTTTAAGAACAGCAAATTCTACCAAGGATACTTTTTTTTACATATTTTCAAAGGTACCTATTGAGGAAAAGATCAAAGTGTAATTAGTTCTGGTGGTGAAAATAATTTTAGAACTTCAACTAGAAAGTAAGATCTCCTAGAACTACAAGTAACAGAACTACAAACAAGAAACAAAGTGAAAACTTTATACTAAATACTAAATAGCAAGAAGAAGTACCTTCAGGCGCTGAGAAAGATCTTTGAAACCCTGAACAAGCTGAGGCCAAAGGCGTTCTCGGTTGGAACTCTCCATACCCTCCAGCTTCCCCATAGCTTCTGCCCACATGATCTGATGATGCAAACTATTTTCCAAACTTAGCCAGCAAAAAACCTCAATAAAGTAAATCCATCAAATTTCTAAGAGATCAAAAAATTAAGAATTGGTAATCTAGTTTATCAACTCACATCTGATACACCAGCAGGCTTTGTCCTAAATTGTGGTTCAGTCACACTGAACAACAAATGCTGCAAAACCAACACAAAGATCAAGTAAATCTCAGAGTCCTAATGCTCAGTTTGGTCGCAGAAAATATTTGAAAATATTAAAACTTCTATTTTATTATATAAAGCACACGAGTCACTTGGTGTACTTTGTTGCACAAATTTGATTTTCAAAAATAACAGGTTCACAACAATACTAGATTTTTCTCCAAATAGTTAGTTTTGCCTAGCAATTACTTTTAGGCCCCATTTGTTTGCGGTTATGGGGAGGGGATTGGGTTTGATAGTGAGGAAGGGATTGAGAATGGGGTGTTTGTTTTGAGAGATAGGGAGGGGACTAAGGGGGATTGGTAAGGAGGAGGTAGAGATGGTATTAGAAAAATAGTGAGGGGATTAAAAAAAAATTATTTTTTTTATTTTGTATATATTGGAAATTTTTTTTTAAATATTAATGTTTAATTTTTATATTTTTTTATTTGTTTTATTATTTTATATAAAAATAATTTAACAATTCATCACTATTAATCTCCTCATTATCAATCCCCTCACTTACAATCCCCTCACTATCAATTCTCTCCATTCTATCTCTGAAAACAAACGGAGCCTTGAGGATTAAAGTAAAATCAACCAAAAAAAATTGTTGTGTTCAGTTGCCCACTACTCTATACACTCTCACCCATGATCTCCCAGAGCAATTTTAATTGCACACGTTGGTGTGCGTTCTAGTTTTTTTTTTAAAAAAAAAAAGGAAGAAAAAAAAATTATCTTCATCAATTTAGTATGCCCATAAAAACGAAAAGATCAATGCTGCTAGCTGCCTGATGATTCCTTAAAAACTAATTTTATTCATTGTTGTTAAGCTATGAACATACATCATAAAATTGGATTTCTTATTTCTTGCTTAACTTTTCTCGGCAGCCAAAGGAAGTGTAAATTAGAATGCGAAACAAAGAAAGAACCAAACCTTAAATGCGTACTTAGGGTTTCCAGGCTCCTCCTTGTAAGCATCAACAATCGCCTAAAAACACACAAAAAATCATTGAAAAAACCAAAGAGAACAAATCATTAGAACACAGATTTCTGATAATAGAACTAACTTGGATGTCGCGATCGGCAAGAGAGAAAGGAAGAGGAGCGACAGGGGCCATCTGAGTGGTCAACTGAGCATTTCCGAAGGGAGTCAACTGCGATTGTTGCGGTGCAGCACCGAATGGGGTGGAGAAGAGAGATCCGCCGAAGCCGGAGGCGAAGGAGGGCGTGGATGGGGTGCCGAAGGCGGGGGTGGAAGAGGGAGTGCCGAAGGCTGCTGGGGTTGAAGATGGTGTTCCGAAGAGAGGGGTTGGAGATGGAGTTGCGAACGCTGATGAAGAAGCCTGAGCTCCGAACATTGTTGTTCTGGTTGTTGTTGTTGTTGTTGTTGTTGAAGTTGCAGAGTAGAGAGGAAGAACCCTAAACCCTAGAGAGAGAGGGGGCTTGAATTGCCGCCATTTTCAAGGGATTGAAGTTGGAGAGTTTGGAGCCCTGTCTGCGATTCGCTCACTAATTTTGCAGGCTGTTCCCTTCTTTTCTTTTTTATTGGTGGATTTTGGAGGGTAGGGGAAATAAGAAATTGATCAGCTTCATTATCAAATTGTGGTGAATAAAATAAAATTTGTTTTTTTCTTTTTGTAATTATTTGTTTGCTATATGAATATAAACTGAGAGGAAAAATATCAAAACAAAGGCTTCGTTTGGGGTAAAGATTGAGACTAAAATAATTAAATAAGACAAAATATATTATTTTAATTAAATAGAATAAAATATCATATCTAATTCATAATTTATAATCATTTCACTTTTTTTTTAAAAAAAATCAAAAAAAAATTATCTCAAACGAGACTCTTTAATCTCGAACTAAAATAATTAAAAAAATACTGTAATTAAAAAGTCAACCAACGTTCCAAACTAATCCAAAGAGAGATTGGGGGGAAGTTATTGCACTTTTGTGGTTACTTTTTGTGAATGTACCCCAACATAAAATGGAAAAAAGTTAATATCAAATGAAATCTATCAAAATTTTCAATTTCTTGCATGTTCCGTAATCATTCCGTATTTAGTTTTCAGTTTATATTTATAAAAATTAAAAAAATTATCATAAAAATTTGTTTGGTAATTTTTTTAGTTTATAAATAGTTGTCTCAGTTTATAAATTTGAGAAAAAATATAAACTCAAAAAATGAGTTTACGTTTTCAGTTTTTTTTTTTTCAATTAACTTTTTTTCAAATAATTTTTTTTTCAATTAATCTTTTTTTTCAAATTTTTTTAATTAATTTTTTTTTCAAATATTTTTTTTCAATTAACTTTTCTTCCCAAATATTTTTTTTCAAACAATTTTTTTCAATTATTTTTTTAATTAATTTTTTTTCATTTTTTTCAATTATTTTTTTTCCCAATTAAATTTTTTTTTTCAATTATAATGTGTGTGATGCCATTATCATAAATAATAATAAAAAATATAAATATTTTAGGCCTGAACAAACATATTTTTTAGTTTATGTTTTTAAAATTTTTTAAACATTTTGTTCAAACCAAACGCGTTTGTAATTTATGTTTTTCTAAAAATAAACAAAAATCAGTTTATAAAATTTTTATAAACATAAACAAAAAACGTAGACGTTACCAAACGCTACCTTATTGTTTTTCTTTCCTTCATAGTCATTCCTTTCTGTTTTTGTTCGTTCTTATTAACGCTATGATTGGATTGAGTGATTTGGAGAAAAAAAAAATAGAGAAATATATATTTTTCTTATTTGTTTGGATAATTTAAGTGGAGAGAAATTGAAAGAAACAGAAAGAAACTCATTTATCTTATAACCCTTATTTTCAATCTTCCCAAAAGTAGAGAGATTGGGAGAGAAAATAAATCAATATTTTCATAATACCAATTTTGTCCCTGTAAAAATAAAAGAAATAAAATGATTGAAAATATAAAAAGGTTATTTTGGTAATATAACATAAAATAATTTTTTTTCTTTTCTCTTATGAAATCTAACCAAATAACGAGAGAAATCATAATTATTTCTTTTCTTTTCTTTTATTTCTTACTTATTCAAATAAAAAGGAGATAAATCACAATCATTTCTTTTCTTTTCTTTTTTCTTATAACTTAAGTAATTCTTTCTTTTCTTTTCTCTCCTAAATTCCTAAAGAGATTTTATATTTTCAATCATTTTATATTTTATATCATTGGGTGTGTAACTATCAAAAGTTAACACTTATTAAACTATCTCAGTATAGATCAAATTATAAGAACTTTTTGTGAGTCTCAAATATTTTTCTTGCATTTTTTGAGATGCGGTGTTGAGGGGTTGAGAATTGCACTTGGAGAATATTAAAATGAGATCATATTTAGCTAAGCTATTTAAAAAGTAGAAGCTTTTGACAATAAGAATTTTTTAAAAAAAATTTCATGGCCTTTATATGACAGTTTAAATAATTTAATAATTAAGTCACCTCTAATAATAGAGTGATGGCCAGAGATTCAAGAGGTGGGAGAAAATTGCATAGTAGTTACTTGAATTAAGTACAATTTTCATTTGTATCAATCATAGTCATCACTGCCATCACCTGTATAATGTACATTTTTTACTTCACTGAAACAAATTCTTATTTTGCACTTGTTTTGGCGGATGTAGACTAGTGCAGGAAGGGGATGAGGATGGCTCCGGAGGCAATTGCTCCGGAGGCAATTGCTTGGGGGAATTGAATCTTCTATCATTTTTCTTTGCAATGATCTACAACAAGAGATGTCAACAAAAAAAAGTTTACAATAATAAAATATTATCTTTTTATTTTAAAACTACACATTCCAAACACAATGTTAGTTTACATTTATTTTAAATTTAGACGGTTGAATTATCAAAACAAAATTATTATAAGAAAAATAATTATAGAGAATTCTAATCCATTAAATAGTGGAAGAGCGCAAGGATTAGGGGATGTGTTGATGTGGAGATAGGTCAAGGATTTTCCGAATTTGAGTGTTTTTGTTTGTCCTTCATAATAATATTTGCTTTGTGGCAAAAATAAAAACATAATAAAAATTCATGACTGAATAAAATTTCATGCGTTTGATATATTGTTTTCTCCTAATTTCATTTTTGGGCAAATTACACAAATAGTCTCTATAATTTGGGGCTTGTGTCATTTTGGTCCCTGACTTTTCAATTGTAACGCATTTGACTCTGAATTTTGAATCTTGTTCCAAATAAAGACAATTGAAGATATCATTAGATTTTTTAAGGGTAAAATTGTCAATTTGATAAAATATAAACTAATTTGACAAAATAAATGTCAAACAATTTTTTTTGAATTTTAAAAATTATTTCTACCTACTAAAAATAAAATTATGTAAAATTAATAAATTTTTTAGGCATTTATTTATTTTTTTACCAAGTTAATTTTTATTATATGTTTTGATGATGATCATGTAAAATTAGTTTTAAAAAATTAATCATGTAATTTTTATTAATTTTATCATTGATGGATAAAAATAATTTTAAAAAAATTAAAATATTTTTTTGATATTTATTTTTGTCAAATTAATTTATATTTTATCAAATTGACAATTTTACCCTTAAAAAATCTAATGATATTTTTAATTATCTTTATTTGGAACAAGATTCAAAATTCAGAATCAAATTTGTCACAATTAAAAAGTCAATGATCAAAGTAACACAAGTCCCAAACTATAGGGACTATTAATGTAATTAACCCTTCATTTTTATTTTTATTTTACAGTTTCAAATTCTAAATAGAAAAACCAAAACCTCTTCAAAATCATTTTAGCTCTTCAATTTCTTTTTTTTAAGATCCAGATTTCTTCAAATTTTCTTTTAATATACTTATTCCTGTTTCACTTCCACGACAAGCAAAATCGATTTCCTTTGTAATGGTTTTCAAACACAAAGCTTGAGAAAAAAAAATTATTAACCGGAAGACAACAGAAAATTTATAAATCACAATACATGTTCTTGTGCACAAGACAAATAACTAGAAATCATCAACAAAAAACTAACTGAAACTCAAAATTTAATTAAAACCTTAAGACCATGCAATACAACAGAGCTAAAACCTACTGATAAATTAGCCAAACAGACCTCTAACTATCATTAACAACAACATTTTAGCCAAGGGCCTAGCAAAGCAATGGAAAAACCATAATATTTCTCAAAATATCAGTTGATACCGTCCAATATGGGCTGGTATGTGATCATATGGCCCAATATCAATATGTATACCGATATTGTTATTTAAAACCGTAGCACAATCTATGTCTTGATTATGACAATGCACAAGCACAAACCAGATGGCTTTATCCGGGCTGATATATGATCATATGGCCCAATATCAAAATGTATCCCGATATTGTTATTTCAAACCGTGGCACAATCTATGCCTTGATTGTGACAATGCACAAGCACAAACCAGATGGCTTTATCTGAGAAGTCTGCCACTCTGAACCCGGGGTTGCATTAGGGTCATACAACAGGGTGTGGTAACCCGGGTCGTTCTCGAGCGAGAATAATAAAAGCTTTTCACCCAATATGCCAAATCGGAACCCAATTCTCGAGCTTCCAGTAACAGGAATGGGTACCATTTTCCACGTATTGTCCTCCGGGTTGAAAATAGCTAGTTTCCGCTGATTCTTCCACTCCATACAAAATAGCTTCTTTCCCAACACAGCATGAGCGGTGACCATAACACAACCATTTTTCATCTCATCCCAAGTGTGCCTCTTGGGGTTATACACATCAACGAATCTTGAGTTTCCAATTGTGAAACTTGACCTCCCACCCATAACATAAAGCTTTCCCTCAAACCCACAGGCAAAGCAGCCCCACCTTGGGCGGCGAAGACTCTCAATGAAGGTCCATGTGTTGTCATCAGAGTTGTACACCTCAGCACTGGAGAGAGACTCACCATCCATCCCATAGCCCCCAACTGCATAAACCATGCCATTAACTTCTGCACAAGCAAAATCATAGCGAGCCACATTCATGTCTGCTAACTTGCTCCACCTGCAATTATGTGAAGCATGTTGCAAAACTGTCAAAAATTATGAAAAAGAAATGGATTCTTACAAGAATCGTCTTTTTTTCATTTTGCTACGGGGGGGAAAGAATTATGTTGCTTACCAAAGTACAAGACCAGGACATATGCAGTTACCACACACACACACAAAAAAAGAAAAAAAAAAACTAATTGAAGCATAAAAGTATTCATGGAGACACATAACCTAGATCTCTAGAACTAAATTATGAATCACATAAAAATGATTATGACATTTGATGTTGACACCATAATGAAAGGGTGATGCTTGCACATGGACATGCATTATTGATGGATATCCTAGAAAACATAACAAAGTGCAAGCATGGTAAAAAGAAACAGAAAAAATGCAAAATCAAACAAACCTGTTGAGGCAAGAATCATATTGGCAAACATCTCCCGAGGCAATCCCAGTTCCATCTTTCATTGAATAGCCACCCATGACAAGAAGCTTTCCATTGAGAACTACCACCCCAAAACCAGCTTTGACAGGGCCAGGCATTGGAGGGAGGTCTCGGTGTTTTTGTCCCAGACAATCCAAAACCTCCCAGTGGCTACCCTTTCCTTCACCATCCATAGTGAGGACGTAGAGCCACTCCTCAAGCAAGCCAGCTAGTCTCCGAACAGTGATGAATTCTTTGCTTTGCATAAATGACCTCCACGGCCTGCAGACACGACCCATAGCTGGGAAGTCGGAACGAGGGACGAGAGCAAGGCAATCCTTTGCCACATCATCAGGCAGACCAGGTAAGATGGGGCTGTGAAAATCATGAGTGGCCTGAGCAGTTAAAAGTGAACTGCTTTTTGAACGAGTTGCAGCATCTTGCTGAGCTGAATTGGTGAAAAACATATTTGATTCTGCAAGTCTCTTCTTTCCGCAAGCAAGATCAGTCATTTTCTAGATTGTAAAGCTACACAAATGCTGAGAGACTGACACAACTCTCATAGTTGATCAAATAATTCTCTCAAAAGCAAATATTAAGAAAACTGAACGTTAAATGCTTGATTAAACAAATTCATGATATCCTTCAGTTAAAGGGATTTTACGAGACCAAGGCATGAAAGATGTTGCAGAACGGATCACTTCAGCTGTAAATGCAGATGATTTTCTATGTCTTGTCCAATCGGATTCAAATCCCATGCCAGTCGTTTTGCTCTTCAATTGGTTGTTCTTTGTTGTTCTACCTAACGTAATTCCAATTTCTACTTTCCTTGAATTGTTTGTTCCCCCGCACATTGCCCAAATGTCTACATTACATAATATAAAATTACAGCAACCCAGTTTGTGCAAATAGGACAGGAAAGAACAAAAACTAATCATCAGAATAAAGATGTGGCGATGGAAAAAAGTGATACCAGCCAAGGCCATAGAACTAGACAAATTTAGCCCCCTGTAACTTCCATTTTGTCGTAGCGCATAACCACTCACAATAAATCACCTAAAAAGAGTAAACTTAACTAATAAATAAAGTTGATTACAACAGCTTGTAAAATCAAGTAATTCTCATGTCATAAATACAACACCAACTCAGTGAGTAAATCCCATACTCAAAATGATTGAAAAAAGAGTAGTGCTACTCTAACCTAAAAGTTAGTCACTTCTCAAATCCAATGATGCGGCAAACTATTAAATATCTAAAACAAGTCTCTCTCTCTTTTATTTTCTCTAATCATCATCAAATCATCTCTTTTACACATCAGTGGGTTTAGAAAGTGAGTTTCTATATCATTTTTCTCAAAAAAATTAACTATTTTTTTTTGCAGAATATGACCCCATTTGATGGGACTTAAGGCTTCGTTTGGTTTGGTTTGGTTATGGTTCAGCGATGCCCTTTTTCAACAACTTGATGTGCAATATAGAAACAACTGCAAATTTGTTTGTACTAAGACTATTAAAGGACAATTACATAGTTTGTAGTTGTATTATGCAAGTGGATTGAATACAATAATCAATTAAAAGCTTCCAATGAACCGCCTATATTGAATGAAAGCAACCCAAATTGCAACAGGCTGAATATTGAGTTCACACCTACCCACCAACCCTAAAATATTTTGGAATTCACACCCCCGAATATTTTGAGTTCACACCTACCCAAAACAAATAAATAATGGGAAAAAAAAGGGGAATGAAACAAATGAAATAGAAATATGTTCCAGTATTTGTATTCATCAGAATCACTAAGCCTGTTTGGATCATGGATTTGCACAGGTATTTGGAAAGGAAAAAAAAAATTATGTGAGATGTGAACGAAATACAGAACGTTTCACCAAATTTTCACACTACTTCTCCAAATACCTACCTACCCAAATCCATTAACCAAACACATCCCAAAAAGCAAAAGAAAAAAATAAGGCTAAAGAGAAAAGTAAACCATTGAAAGTCAGAACAATTAAATTGCTCATAAATTCACAATCTAAAGACCAAGCGCATTAGATCTAAAAGTCATCAGTTGAGAATTACAAATCAGAAGTTATTCAAACACAGCTAAAATCAATTAGATTCTCTGTGGCTCAACGAAATGGAAAACAAATAATTATAAGCAAGTGCAAGAATATCAGAAAATGAAAAGAATTGAACACGATGTTAATTCATTAAACTTGACGAAACAAAATCTAGATCCATTAAATCTCAGCATATCAAAGAAGAATTTTTTTCCCTAAAAAATTTACCAGGAGCTAGTTTCCTCCAAAACAAACAGAAACAGAGAGAAATGAACTTTCTGTATAAATCCGTCAAATTTTTCAATAAAAATATCAAAAGCTTCAAAATTTCGTGGAAAAAACAAAAGAGTACATCAACTTACGTACAAAAAACCAGATTCAAGAAGAGAAAATGGAAATGACCACACATCTCACCTCGAAGACTGGAAAAAAAAAAAAACCGTAAAACAGAGATCAGAGAAAATGGGAGCTTCAAGTTACCTGAGGAATGGCAAATCTGTGAGGAGCTTCCAGTGATATAGATATATAGATGTGGAATATAGAGAGAGAGTGAAATAGATATGTAGAGAGAGAGAGGGGTTGAGTTGAGAGTCTGGTGAGAGTGGAATGAATGAGGATTTATAGAGAGTCCGAAAATAAACTAAGGCCGACCACGTCAGAATGAGGTTTCAGCCCCAACCGATAAGGAAACGAAAGCGACGAGACTTGTTCTTTTCCCGAAGAAAAAAGATTGGGTAAGAGCCTGATAGTTTTAATTGGTGTGTGAATTTTATGTAATGTGATGTTTTTGTTTTTATTTTTTTTAATTTTATTAATGCTTTTTTAAAATTTTTAAATTAGATGAATGTATCATTTTTATCTCTTAAAATATATGTTTCTAACCTTAGTTAAGTCCTGTTTGGAAATATATTATTTTAATATTTTTTTAATTAAAATATTAAGTAAAAAAATTAATCAGTGTATTTTGTTTTAATTTTTTAAATACAATTTTTTTTAAATTGAGTTTTTCATTTTTTATATTTTTTATTTTTTTGAATATTTTTGAAAAATTAAATATTTTTTTTATTTTTTTAGATGTATCTTACTTAAATATATCTACATAATAAAATATTTGTAAAAAATATTTTAAAAAATTAATAAATACACAAAAAGATGAAAAATATATTGAATTTTCGTATTTTTTATTTTTTGTATCTAGTAAATTTTTTAAAAAAAAATCACAAATATTATACTTTTAAGTATATTTATGTTAGGTGTGTCTAAAAATTAAAAAAAAAATTGCTGAAAATATTTTAAAAAATACGAAAAATAAAAAAATAAAATTTTTTAAAAAGTATTTTCTAGAAACCAAAATAAACAAGCTGAATATGTTTAGAATAACTTTTTGGTTTTTTCTAAAAAAATATGCAAAAAATAGAGAGAAAAATAAATTCTTAACTTTTTAGGATAGATTGTTGACTTTTTAATTTTTTTAATGATTTTTTGACTTTTATACTAAAATATTGAGTTGTCAAACGAGACCTTAACTATGCTTGCACTCAATTTTAAATATTTATTGGAGCAAATAAAAAAAATTCAAAAAAAAGATCTAAGATATTTTGAAAAATTATGTATGAATATAATTTTAAATTTAATTGAATAAATAAAAAATAAATTTATAGATAATAAAGAGAATACTAAAAGTTATTAAAATTAAAAATAGACATTTAATTTTTTTTCATGATCTTTCTCACAACATTATTTAAATTGTTCTTAAAAAAAATTAAAAATATACTTGAAGAAAAATTATTATTTTAATATTATAATTTTTGTTTTAATTACACGTATTGTATGTGTCCCACCACCACTATTATAAAATAAAGATAAGCAAATAATGCTTTTTTTTTTCTTTTTTGTTTTGTGTGGGTAGCAAATAATGCTTTATCTCATAGAGAATAAATGCTTCTAGATTGAGCAAAATGGATGGATATGGTGTGATTTTGTGATTTCAAAAGCATATTAATATCATCGTCCACAATTAACTTCTTTGAGCTATTTTAAAGAGATAGTTAATAATTATTTTTTGATTTTTAAATCATTTTATGTCATATTATTTTTCATATTTTTTTATATATATTTTTTTAAAAATTAAAAAAAAATATATAACTTTTACCTATTTTTTTAAAATAACCTTTTATTTAATTCCAAATTGAGAAGGAAACTTGATAGCTAGTCAGTCACATCCCACATGTTTGTAACTAGAGAAAGCTACATCTGGGATTGGAGTTTCTGCTGTTGAGATATCGTGGGTATCGTGGGCTTGTTTCGGATCTTTTTGGATAATTTAAATGGCGTATATTATAAAATTTATTGGGTTGTTTATTTATATAAAAAAATTAAATTAAATTAATTGAATATTTATAATTTTTAACAAGTGTATGTTTATTTTTTAAAATAAATTATTAAAATAATTTTAATAATTTTTTTAAAATACTTAAAATTTGATTATAGGGTTATAGATGTCCAATAAATTAAGTTTTTCGATAAATTATAAATACATCCTTTGAGATTTTTTTAAAGTACAAATTGTCCCTATGGTTTAAAAAATTATAAATATCTCCTTGTTAGTATTTTTTATTTAACAGAATTAAATAAAAAAATAATATTCATAATTATTTTCATATACAATAATAAAATTACTTAAATTATTAATTGAAACATATTTCTAATATCATTAAAAACTGTTAATTGACTTGATAATTTATTAACAAAATAGACGATATGTTATGAAATTAAAAATCTCAGAAGGTAGAATGTAATTTCTAAAATCACAAAAAATAATTCGTATTATAATCAAACCTTAGAAAATATATTTATAACTTACCCTAATTTTTTTATACGCTTCACGAAACTTATAATACAAATAGTTCCAATCATCAAAATAAAATTAGAAAAAAATATCTCCCAAAACTTACATGGTGTCTTGTGACGGCAGCAACCTCTCTATCCGTTGCACCTTACATAAACATGGAGAGATGATCATTTTCCCGTAGCTCACTCCGCACCCGCATCTCCAGTCCCGTCTTGTATGGATTTTTTTTTTATGGATCGTTATACACATTAAAATAAATATTAAATTATAACAAAATTTTTTAGAATAACAATAAGCCTACATATCGGTCTATAGAGACAAATGTAAAATTAAACTAATTTAATTGTTAAATTTTTAAATTAATTTTGATAACAAGATGAATGATTCACAATGATTAAAATGAAGACAATTAAAATTGAAGTTGGAGATACTAGTTTTAAGAAAATCTTAGGATAATGAATTCACCACTAATTATGTAAATGAGGTTTCAAGTTAAAAATCAATTGTGTTATGGTTCGAACTCAATAATACTTCACAATTACAAATTCGAAACATTGATTAAGAGAATTATCATGTTCAATGTACGGACACGAACTATCTCAAGTAGAACGAGTTATTCATTCTAAACTAGGGTAGTAACACGGCTCATCCCTCGTAGTATAGCTCGTCTCATACCTTAAACACGAAAGAATAGAAAATCATTGCGTAGCAAGCATTCAACAATCATAGAAAGTAGAGTACTTGAAGAAAATAATGAAAGATATATTTAAAAAATTTCTTGAACACTATACAACTCGTTCAAACCATTAAAACAATGAAAAAAAAAAAAAAAACTCTATTTACTTGGTTAGGGTTTCATCAAAACCCTAGAAAGAGAAAAATTAGCCACTCGTAGAGGAGTGGGAAAAAGGTAGAGGAAGAATAAGCCACCATAAGAGATATTTTTGAAGCTTGAGAACCCTCTCTTCAAACCCTAGCCTCTCCTATTCTTTGGAAATTTTCATAACCCTATTCTAGTTTTGTTTTTTTTTTCTCCTTTTATACTTCTAGCTTTTCAAAACAAGTTCAAAATATCGTACACAAATTTCGAGGTACGGGCGCACGTGTAGGAAATGTCACTGCACATGCAGGAAAAACCCTCCGTGCGTGCGGGAAGCGCTTTTCTGCTAAACTGTTATGTTTTTGCTCATTTTGTGCTCCCACCACATCCAACCTGATTAACATTAAGCAAACATAAAATATGCAAATTGACTAGAGAATAAGTTTAATAGATTCTAGGTATCGGCTTCGATAATATACAATTCGACCTCAATCATTTCTGTCCTGATTAAAAAGTAGGGCAAGGACGGGTTTTGCTTCCCCCACCCCATTCCACCCAAACCCAGTGAAAATACCAACAACAAAAAAAATAGAAATAAAAAAATAATTGTAAATTCATGAAGTACAACATTCATTTGCATAATTTAGCACATAAATCACTCGTACTTTTATGAGTTTGTAATTATTTTTTTAGCTTCTCACTTTTTCTTTTTTTTTGTTTCCCTTTCATTTTATTTATTTTTTTTGATAAATTATACTGACGTCTCTTGAGATTTAAAAATATATATATAGAAAGTTCGATATTTTTTACATAATTATACTGACTTCTAAAATAAGTAAAACTAATATTGATAGTATGAACATGGAAAAATAAACGGGGTTAAACATATAATTTAGTGTTAAAAATTATGATAATATCATTTTTCATATATATGATTAGCAGTTTTTTTTAATTTTATTTTATAAAAAATGAGTTAAGTGATATATGAATTAAAACTTTAAGAAAATATAATTATGTCAAATTTATAAATTTACTGTATTTTCTTCATACCTGATCATGAGAGGTTAATATAATTTATGTTTGCTTTTTAAAATTGTTTTCTAATTACTTAATCAATATTGTCCCTATCTAAAAAGTTTTTTACTACATCATTAATTAGAAGCACTATAGAGTGCCACGTAATATTCTAAGGCCTATTTATATGCTGAATTAGATTGGATAAAATTATTAGTATGATAAGATTTAGTGAGATAATTATTAGTATGATAGTATTGAATTAGAGATGTAAGATATATTCTATTTGTTATGTAATAGTATGGTGATATTAGTTGATTGACATTAAATCTATAAATTTAAGAAAAAAATTTTAATATATAAAATGTAATTTTATTATTTTTATAAAATAAGAGTATAATGATATTTTCATGTCCAAAGTTGGATAGTGAAATCTAATATCTCCTTGGAAGGAACTCATGGTCCCATCAAACTGTTAGTCTTATGATATTATTCCAAAACAAATATTGATGTCGTTTGGAAAGTGAGTTAGTTTTTTAATTTTTTAATTTTTTTGATTATTTTAGTCTGAGTTAAAAAGTTTGGTTTGAGAAAAGTTTTTTGGCTTTTTTATTTTTTTTGTGAGAGAAAAGTGTAATGATTATGGGTTGGATGTAATTTTTTTTATTGTGGCTAAAATAACCTATTTTCTCTTTTGTGGCTAAAATAGCCAAAAAAGCTTCCAACCCACCTTCCCAACGGGGACCAAGATGATTATTAGCTCAATCTCACCATCTTCACACTAATGTTATATTTGGTTAAGAGATTTGGGAAAGATTTGAAAATAAAAAAAGAAAATGTGTGTGAAATTAGGTAAAATGTAGATATGTTTTATTCTCATTTCACCTACCTTTTTTAATTTCTTTTACAAATCCTCCAACTAAACACATCGTAAGAATCTGTTTAGA